AGTCCAGAAGAAGAATGGGACCCAACGTTGCTGTGTGGACTTCAGGGCTCTTAACAGTATAAGCGAAAGGACTCATATCCACTGCCAAGAACTGATGATACTCTCGATGCCCTAAGTGGAAAATGGTTGCAGAAAGGATTAGCTCATGAAGTTTGACCTCCAAGAGGGGGAAGGTTGCTTAGTGGAGCAGCACTCAGTGGAAGATTACATTCATCTCAGGCAGGGAATACTGGGACTGACCTTCTAACCATTTTGTGCTTATTATAGTTTTCATGCTATAGCTTTTAAATTAGTAGCGAATGTTAACAAAATTTGGCAGTTTATCAGTAAACATGACAGTGCTTTCATACACAAAATATCTAATTTCTTTATTAAGTCTTAAGGTTTGTAAAGCAATGTTTTTCTCATTCCTTTTTTTTCTTTTCAGATGTTGCCTATCCAACATGCAAAATAATTTTCATTTTAAGATTAAAAATACTTTTATGCATAAGAAAGTTTTGAAATTTCACATGTGAAATCTTTATAATGTTCAGATAGTTATCAAATGTTTCTTACGAAAAACCTTTATATTTTATCTGTTATTTTCAGTAATTAATCTGTGTATGGGTTCGGTAGATTTGACCGATATCAAAACCACCATAAAAAATTAGGAAATAAATATAAATTATGCCTCTTTCATTCGAGAATGAACACAAATTATACCACAAAAACATAAATGTATCGACTAAATAGCTTAAATCTCATAACATTGTACATTTATATATATTTATTATCTTTATTATATTGACCTTTCAGCCGTGCCTGCTAACAATACAGAAGTTACAATGACACGGCATATGTGCACTGATGTTGCTGTATCAAATAACATAAAGGTGACCTTTGGTTTATACAAAGTAACTTGTCTTGGCTGTGTTTTAGTAGACTATATTTTCTAAAATACAGTCACATTTCAATTATTATACATTATATATGTATATAGATTATTGCTATTTTGAAATAAGTTCTTAAACTTATTTTTCTTAAACATAGAACAGTAACTAAAAAAGCAAAGAAAACAATTATCTCTTCTAATTATGACCTTTGTACTCGGTTGCTGCTTGATGTAGGTTGCTAAGCCTTTAAATAATTTGATGTGGAGGATATGAAACAAA